CAAGAGCCCGGTGCCGGTCCCAGAAATCGTCGCCTTCGACCTGCGACACCTCCTCGGATGCTTGAAGAAAGTCAAGCGGCAGCTCCGCAGCGAGTGCAAGCGTACTGGCAGGGATCCGGAGAATTGGTATTGCAAGGATAGCCTCCACCCTAGTCTGAAGAAGGTCCTGCAAATCATCGAGATGCCCAGCACGACTTCAGATGAGCTGGATCGCGAAGCTTCGGATGATGATGAAACGCCAGAAGAGCCTTTGCTCTTCTTTGCAAACAGGGCCGATCAGGCGGCAAAGCGGACAAAAGCCGAAGCCGAGGATCCCGCGAGTGCTGCTGGGGCCAAGCAGGCGGAAAAGTCGACAAATGCCAAAGCCGAGGATTCCACGAGTGTTGCTGAAGCCATCTCTGAGAAGAGGCGCGGGCAGCATATGCATGGAAAAGAACATGTCAAGCAAGCCTGGTTTAAACCCCTGGCATCTTTTGTTAATTTGCTTGCCCAGGAGGAAGATTCTGCAAAACCTCCAAAGCAGCACCATAGAAATCGTGGACGACGATACTCCGCTTGCAGCTTTCGTGCCTCGTACGCATATAGCGCACAAGTGTCTGCATAATGGTTGAGGCGTTGAAGTTGAATTCATGGCTAGGATTGCATCGATCCATCTACTAATACATGTCTGCTTGCATCGTTCACATATGCCACCGGTGCTGCCAATCAAGGTCCCTAACTCCTCAGCAAGAACGGAAAGCCCTGCGGCAAGTTCCAGCGGCCCTTCGAAATCCAGCTCCCGCGACCCGGATGTTTCCCGGGGAAAGGTGCCTTTGGCTAGGTTTAAAACCTTGCTTTTCATGTTGTCGAAATACTGTGCTGGTGCTAAGATTGTGTTTTCGTGAAAGCATGGGTTCACATTAGCTGCAGGCATACACACCGGAGCCACCGTACGTGGCTGCCGCCTTGCTCAATCATGCCTTGCATGGATCTGCTTCTTCTTTCCCCGCTGCAGCCCCACCGCCCAAGGACATTGGGAACGATTTGCGTGAACATGCTCCTGCTCACGTCACTCAAACCGAGCAGCAGAAGCTGGCGCCTCAAAAAAGAGCGGAGGCCGCTGCAAAGGGCAAGGCAAAAGCGAAGGACAAAGCGAAGCAGGCGAGATTCAATTGGGGCATCGGTCTTTGTACCAGCCTAGCTTGGACGGTAGAATGAGACTTCTCGTCAGGTGTGCGCTCTGAAGAAGAACACCCGGCCGGCTAACGACGGTACCAAGACTGTGCAGTGGGCCGTCATGCGGAGAACGGAGGCCCCTTGGACTTGGCTGGTTCAATCTCTGTATATCTCTGTCCGTGTTGCATCCGCTGCAGGGTAACAAAGAAAAGCAGCTCTTTCAGACAAAGGACAGAACTTTGCTGGTTCATGCATCTCGTGCCAATTTGCAAGCCTTGCCGAACTCCAGGACATGGATATCTCCACGCAAATCATGCAACAGCTAACGATAAGAAAATCACGGAGGAGAAGAGTCTCGAAATCACATGCCTGGAAAGCCTCCGGAGCTCTGCCTTGAATTCCGATGACTGAGCAAGCGGCCCCTGCGCTGGAGCCGGCCTTCCAGATCGGTATATGAACCGGGCCGACATCGCAATGGTGTTTCGATACGCTACTTCTGAGCTACGGTCAAAATCGTGCTTTAGCTTTGTCCGTCGCTTCGTGGCCCCCGAGTGACCCATTGTTAGTGTGTCGTTTTCAATTCAGTGTTAACAGACGCACACTTCCGCAATGTTCACTATGCTCAATGCAGCTTGTGTGGATATCTGTGCATGGACAATGCCGTATGTGCCCAACGTTGGAAGCCTGTCCCGCTTCTTGGAGAAGCTGGACGTGCTGCAGCTTCGAGAGCTGCACGGGTTGCTCCACCTTGGCATTCCATGGGTCGATCACTTAGCTGCCATCCGTGTGATTCGGATAGATACTTCTGCATTGGAAAGTCGTACTGCCTCAGGTCATCCTTGAAATGACCTTATATCTACTCATCCTGCAAAACATGGAGAATGGGCTCATTCAGGCTCTCGATGGCTGAGTGTCTGTGGATCTTTCTTTCATGTGTGTGCCGATTGCCTTCTGCAGGACCTCCCAGGTTGCTTGCAGTGTGTGGAATTCTTTGCTGGTGTGGCGTCCATAGCTACAGCCTTCTCTGCCCAGGGATACAACGCCAAGGCAATGGACTTCAATCGTTGCCTGTAATTCAAGACGCATGATCAACTGTGCCACGCAGCTGATCCTCTTGCTGCTGATGTAGTTTGGCCACTCAGGCTCTGAAATGCATGATATGCTCCACCCTCCCGGCATCGTTCTCTGCTTTGCTTCCATCCTGGCTCTGGAACCAGGAGGTTTGGCACACTTTGCCACAGTCTGCACCAGCTTTTGCTGGACCAACAGTGGAACGCATCAACGCACAAGCTTCAATCCTTTGGGCGACGAAAGTAAGAAGTATATACGTGAAGGCTCACAACTGGCAGAGATTACATCTGCTTTGATGCTGTTGGCCTGGTGCAAGGGTTGCTGGGTTACGCTGGAAAATCCAAGATGCAGCAAACTAGAGATCTACCCATCCATCCAAGCAGTGGTGCAATTCCTGCTTGACCGAGAAGCTGACGGCTTTGAAGGAACAGCCCTTCTCAGGCATCCCATTTGTTTGGGTGATTTCGGGGCTCCGTCCCAGAAGCCGATTTGGCTTTATTCTACATACGACCTTATGTCCACCTTCAAGGAGGCGGCTCGAAACGGTTCGCCTCGCAGATCATGCAGTACCGATGACGGTGTAACGATCCGGTGTCCTGGTTGCAAGTGATCTTCTGGATGCGATATGAACCATACTTGTTGACCTGCCCCAGAGGTACACAAATGCGGTTGGACTGGAAAAGGTCCACGGAGGACCTGGCCTCAAAAAGAGTCAAGAATACCCAATGAGGCAAGTGCTGCAACTCACCTACCTGATTATGCTTGTTGCTCAGTACTGCAACTAACGCCGATTCTGCATCCGCACAGGTTTGGTCAGGTCTTGGCTGGCTGGTGGGTGAGCCATCGTCGTGAAACGAGAAAGCAAGGGACACTCTTCATGATAACTCCTGTGGTGTTATATCTGCATTGTGCAGTGAGTCCCGAACTGCTCTAGGATGAAGCGGCGAATCCAAGCTTGGAAAGCTAGTGGAGATCTATCTCCCCAGCAAATGAAGGCACATCCATCCACGCTTCCAGCGACCCTATCCTTTAGATTGCACGTCTGTGTCTGCAGGACCAGATCCTGGCACATGCTACAGACACAGCGCTGGACTTCGGTTTGGGCGGTGCTTTGCAGTGGTGCCGTTCTGGGCTAAGTGATGGCCTGTGACTGCTGTCGCATGGATTCGGAAAACGTTTGTGAACAACATGGTTCCAGCCGCTCTACTATACGATCACTGCCGCAGCCACCCGTGACTTACCCGTGACTTGAATAACCGCTGGGACTTACCAAGCTCTAGCGCTACCGTGACTACCCGTGACTTACCCGTGATTTGAATAACCGCTGGGACTTATATAGCTCTAGCGCTACCGTGACTACCCGTGACTTGAATAACCGCTGGGACTTATACAGCTCTAGCGCTACCGTGACTACCCGTGACTTGAATAACCGCTGGGACTTATATAGCTCTAGCGCTACCGTGACTACCCGTGACTTACCCGTGACTTGAATAACCGCTGGGACTTATATAGCTCTAGCGCTACCGTGACTACCCGTGACTACCCGTGACTTGCCCGTGACTTGAATAACCGCTGGGACTTATATATCGCTACCGTGACTACCCGTGACTTACTCGTGACTTGAATAACCGCTGTGACTACTACTACTACTACTACTACTACTACTACTACTACTACTGCTACTACTGCTACTACTACTACTACTACTGCTGCTGCTGCTGCTACTACTACTACTACTGCTACTACTGCTACTACTACTACTACTACTACTACTACTACTACTACTACTACTACTACTACTACTACTACTACTACAGGTTTGCCGATCCTCCGGCCCCTACCACCAGGGGTGCCGTTCCTCCGGCCCTGCTCTTCTACTAGTACTTGTACTACGAAAACCTAAGCAGTGTAACAACCATAACCGGACCATACGCACCGTCCTGGATGCCAGGACTGCATAACCGCTATATTTAGCGTCCTGGATGCCAGGACTGCAAAGATCTACTTGCAAAACTGATAAACTATCTAGAGTGCTGTGTTTGCAGAAGCTGAAGCCCCGAAAGCCCAAGCAGTGTTTGCAGAAGCTGAAGCCCCGAAAGCCCAAGCAGTGTTTGCAGAAGCTGAAGCACCGAAAGCCCAAGCAGTGTTTGCAGAAGCTGAAACCCCTCAAGTCCAAGCAGTGTTTGCAGAAGCTGAATCACCGAAAGCCAGGCGGTGATCGCAATGCTGCAGCCTGTGGTGCTCGAGCTTTTGGATCCCTTGCCTCTAGCACCATGAGGAAAGGCTTCTTGCTGCCGAAGAATGACGCGAAGACCGAGAAACCCAAGAAGACGGGGCCACCCAAGAAGACCGAAAAGGATGAGGCTCTTCAACAGCTGGCGGTCTCGAGCTCAGCCGCCGCCGAGGTTCCGAAGATCTATACCCAACAAGAGATCAACCACTTCGTGAAGCAGCTGGAGACAATGAGACGTTGGGGAGGGGACGACTTCACCTATATCACGGAATCGGGAGGCATCTCCTGCAAACAAGATCTGGAAGAGATTGTAAAAAGATACGGACGATAGATCGTGCACCGGCGGCGGAGGAAAATTGGATTTCCTGCCTTGGTTGGCTGCCCCAAGTTGCTCAAATGTATTGCTTTAGGTTGCTGCTCGCTTGGATGTTTGCATTCCGCTTGCTGTTGCTGCGGGTTGGCCAATGTCAGCATGACAGCATCTTTTGTATTCAAGGTGTTTGGGAAGGGGCTCCCGTAGGCGGCCCTGGAATTCCAGGGCATGGCGAACGACCCCATGCGAGTGAAGCTGGAGCAGCTTGAGGCTCTTTCGGGAGAAGCCGAGAACGACCCGGTGAAGTTCGGGCGGCTTCTGAACACCGCTATGAGGGCGGGGGCTGCTGCTGGTGGAGTGGCTGGGCAGGGCTTTTCGGACACCTTCCTGCAGGACCATTCGGGGTCACGCCTATCCAGGACACTCAGCAGACGGAGGCCACGATCGACGCGCAAGAGGAGCAGGACCTGATGAAAGAACTCGAGTCTCAGCTCTACGGCTGCGAAATGGACATCTCCTCCCAGGACTTCGATCCCGCCAAACCCATCCTGTTTCCGATACGTGCCATATCTGTTTCCAGGACGCCCAGCCGACCCAGTACGATCTGCCACCTGCTGACTTGCAGACAGAAGGACATCCATGATTCACGTTGTGTTGCAGCTTCAGTGTGCACATGTTCTGGTTTGTTTCGATCACAGGTACAAAGGATGGCTTTGATGCCACGTTGGAGCATCTCATGCGTGAGGTCGGGCTCGAGGAACGCGAGGACGATGCGATCACAAAATCTCCAAAGCGAGAGCTTGAAAATGATTTTGCCAGGGTCGCCAAGGAAGTGGAGGATGAAACCAGGTTGGCCAAGGAACAGGATGATGCCTGGCGGAAAAAAGCTGAGCAAACAAGATTGGCCCAAGAAAGGGAGGAAGCTGAGAAAGCCAGCAGAATGGCGAAGGAAAGGGAGGAAACTGAGAAAGCAAGGTTGGCCAAGGAAAAGGAAGAAGCTGAGAAAGTAAGCAAAATGATCAAGCAAATGGAGGAAGCTGAGAAAGCCAGGTTGGCCAAGGAAAGGGAGGAAGCCGAGAAAGCCATCAGAATGGCGAAGGAAATGGAGGAAGCCAAGCTGGCCAAGGAAAGGGAGGAAGCTGAGAAAGCCGGGATGGCCAAGGAAAGGGAAGAAGCCGAGAAAGCCATCAGAATGGCGAAGGAAATGGAGGAAGCCAAGCTGGCCAAGGAAAGGGAGGAAGCTCAGAAAACCAGGGTGGCCAAGGAAATGGAGGAAGCCAAGTTGGCCAAGGAAAGAGAGGAAGCTGAGAAAGCCAGGTTGGCCAAGGAAAGGGAGGAAGCTGAGAAAGCCAGGTTGGCCAAGGAAAGGGCGGAAGCTGAGAAGGCCATCAGAATGGCGAAGGAAGTGGAGGAAGCCAAGTTGGCCAAGGAAAGGGAGGAAGCTGAGAATGCCAGGTTGGCCAAGGAAAGGGAAGAGTTCAGGCTGGCAAGATTGGCCAAGGACAAGGAGGAGGCCGAACAGATGAGATCGGCCAAGGACAAGAGCGACCGTGAGAAAGTCAGGCTGGCCAAGGAAAAGGATGACGCTGGTAAAGCCAACGTGGAGGCCGTGCGACTTGTAAGAAACTAAGAAACCTTAACCCCTAAACCATAAGTATAAACCCCATAACCTATAACCTCAACCTTAAACCCGAAGCCTTAACTCCCTAAATTTTATACAACCCTAAACCCCAAAGCCTAAATCCGCCACTGTCAGGTCGACATGGCAACACAGGCGACAGAAAAGTACCAGGCTTTGCCGATGAACGCGCCAAAGTTGCAAAAGCTACAGGTCTTGCAGGACATTATGGCTACTGGGGATGAGGGTTGCAAGCAGTTCTGCAAGGCTGAGCTTGCAAAACTGATCACGGCGAAGGCAACAACGTCAGCTCCGGCCCCTGCTACCAGGGATGCCGATCCTCCGGCCCCTACCACCAGGGGTGCCGATCCTCCGGCCCCTACCACCAGGGGTGCCGATCCTCCGGCCGTTACCACCAGGGGTGCCGTTCCTCCCGCCCCTAATGCCCCGACCTTTGATGATGTCAGTGCGAAGATGGGTTGGTCAAGTCCTGTAACCCCACGCATGGTGGAGGCACCTGGTACGCCATCTCCTGCAAGGCCCGGCAGTGCAAGCACAACGCCTGGCAGTGCAAAAACAACGCCTGGCAGTGCAAGCGACGGCTTGGTCCAAGGTTCTGCGCCACTCTACAGCCGAAAGAACGCCGCCATGTTCTTGAATCGCCTGAAAGGCAACCCAAAGAGGACGCAAGCCTTGCCTGATAACTTGGCAAAGTTGGTGCGGGACGAAGATTCAAAGAGCAAAGCCATCGACTTGATCGTCGCTGCAGGAGGAGACGAAAATGAGCTGGTCGGGCAGTGGACTGCATCGTCCATTTCTGTGGCGACGGACAAAGAAAAGGGAAAGATGAAACCTTTGACGGAACAGGAATTGATCGGCAAGTACGGTGCGGTCAATGCTGCGAAGGTGATGGAGGAAAAAGGAAGGCTGGTTTGGAGGTTGATGATCCCAATTGTAAAGGGCTGAAGCTTTACTTGCACAACGAGTGGCAGAGGGAATGGACGAGAGGCACAGAAGAACGTTTCTTGCTTGCATTCATACATCGTGCATGCAGTTATGTTCGACTTCAACATTTATGTAGCATTCGTGCATTCATGCGAACGGAATCCGAGGAAGCACATTCACTGCTTCCGGAAAAGTTCGTGCGGGTGACGCTGCCAACGTTGCACAAATTCTCAGTGTGCCCCGGCGGGCGCTCACGGGGCCCGGCCAGGATGATGAGGAGACTATGGACACGGAGGAGGACCCAAAGCCACTTCCGAACAAAAAAACAAGGAAAGCCAGGAAAAATGAAGCCAGCGGCAAAGGGAACGACGAAGACGATAAACCTGACCCAGAAGCACCACGAGTGGAGAAACTTACACCGCTGGACAAGGCGGCAGACTTAAGGGGGCGGGCCCTCTCGAAGGCCAACCATGCTGGCTCGATGCGGAAGCAGTTGAAAGCAGTCAGCTATGCGACTGAATGCCTCAAGGAGATGACCCACTTCGAGCAGGAGTTCCAGTGCCTTGGCATTGATACCTACTAGATCGTTTTATGAGCCACTGCCCCACAGGGCAACCTGGTCTAGCCATATATGAACAAGAAGTCTTGACAGACGCTCATGTGGCCCCAACCCAATACTATACGGCCAAGGGCGATCTACGACCAGGTGGACAAGCTCATCTCTGAGCTGGTCCACGATGATGGGGTCTATCTTCCCATTGCTACCAGATATCTCGATATCGCGAAGCGTTATGAGAAGCCCAGCAAGCTACCAAACAGCTTGATCCGAGCTGCGAAGGCGACTCCGAAGGATCCAACCGCGCCCAAAGGATCGGCTAAAGCCAAGTCCAAGAAGCGCAAAGCCGTGGAGGGAGCCTAGAAAGATTCTTGGCACCCGGGGTCGGTGCCCAGATGGGCATGTCGTGCTGTTCACGTATGTTAGAATACTCCAAGGTTACACGTATGTTAGAATACTCCAAGGTTACTGGTAACAGATCCATCTGGATTTTGCACATCTCATTTTCTTCCAGTGTCCGACACTGATAACGTACAGTTGGTGTAGGGTCCTCGCCCAAGGGCTCGAGGACCCAAGCCAGTGTGAAAGAAGTTCCGTGCTGCTGTGCACAAGATGCTCTCGACTTTCAATCCTTGGGGAAAAGATCGTCGCTCGGGTGCCAAAAATTGCTTGCTGCAGATGCCCTGACGGGGTTTCACGTGATGGGGTGGAAGGAATGAAAAACATTGTTGCCAGGTACGTGCCCTTGACAGGAGTCTGGTCGGCCTGCCTTTACGACACGTCGTCGTGGGATGCTGCTGGGACCGCAATATAGGCAATAAGCATAAACACGCCACTGGAGCAAGGACCGCAGATGACTTTGACTCCGCTGGTGCAGCTTTACTGGCCCAGCGCATGGGTGCTGGAGACTCTTGACTTGGATGTATGTCAGCTAGTCCGTGTGCAACACTCTTGGACCTTGCAGCCAGAACACACATTCTGAGGCGATACCTGTGGCCGAAACAAGCAGAATAGCATCTGCCTTCCGGCGAGATGGGGCATCTGGACGTGCCCTTGCACAAATGGCAAGCAGCGAACGGGAGAGGGATTTCTTCCGCTGGATGAAGTTACCCATCCAGCCGCTGCTGGTGGATTTGCCTGTGTGGAGCAACACCAAAGAACGCAAGGACAAACAACTGATATTTGAGAAAACAGCTTTCTGTCTTCCCAGTGATGTTCTCTGCGAGCTTTGCAAAAGATCACTGGTGGAAACCTGTCTTATTGGACATTCGCACCTCGGCACGCGCCTGATTGCTGGCTTAATTGTTGGCGCATGTATTGCTCATGGACGCACATTTCCTGCTTTGATATCTCAGGTCAGTAGATGAATGGTGGAAGCAAGAACGGGACCAGGTTTACATACGGGAGATCTCCCGGAACAATCCCAACTACCAGGACATGCTTCCATTACGCTTTCATGAGGATGGTGCGCCAACAACTAAGAGCGAAACATGCAACTTCTGGTCTTGGACCACGCCTTTGGCTAGCCGCGGAAGCGAGATCTCTAGCTTCTGTCCCTCGGAAATTTTCGACTAGCAATATTTTTTTAGTTGGACTTGGAAGAGTAGGAGCAAGAACAGAGGTAGCTGACCACATATATATTTTTTCTATTTATATATATATATATGGTGGAAAACAACAATTAAAGGCATTGTTGGTGTCGCGAACAGTCGTGTCGCGCCCGAAACGAGACGTTGCATCGCTGAAATCATCGCTTGGGATCTTCGATCACTGGAACGTGGCGTTTTTCCATCCTGCGACCACAACGACGTTCCGTGGCCAGCTGGCTCAGCGCGAGCCCAAAAGATTGGCCAAAACATTGGGATCAGAGCATGCTTCTCATATTGGGCTGGAGATATGGAAGCTCATGCAAAATCACACAATCTTCAGAGGCACTATAACAAGCCTTCGATATGCGATTGGTGTTGGGCATCGAGCCGGGACAGACAGCTGACTTTCACAGACTTTTCTTCGTCAGCTCTGTGGCGCTCTACATGCAGCTACCATGAGCCGCTGCCACACCAAGAAGAACGATCTGTTTGGTGCTCCATCAAGGGCTTCACCAAGCGCCGCCGCCTATTTGACAGCCTCTAGGTGGCATTAACAGCATTCCTGGATGGCTTTTTATGGCTTTTGGTTATGTAGTGCTCGAATATTGTAAGATGCACTGCTCAACCAAGTTATGCACCTCGCCCATCTGGGTTACATCCGGGACCTTGTGGCTTCCATTCTGGTTGAGACCGTGAGATCGGGCGAGATGGCAGCTTTCTTGCGATTCGATGGCAGCCCAGATCAGCTTCTTCACAGGTGGACTGCGGAAGCCCAAAGTTTCTGCAAGGATCGTGGCCTGGATTGCTCGATGAAGCCGCTGACGTGGGAAACTTTGCATGCCAACAAGAAGGCTATCTACCCTGAGCTCACAAGCCGTATAAAAGCAAGTCGGACCAGAAATTTGCTGGCGTTTACCGCTTATTATTACTGCTGTCAACTGGAAATACTGGTGTCTGATGACGCACCCTCAGACACGGTGCATTGGTCGAGGTGCAAGGCAACGATGGTATGGTGCTTGGATGCAGCGTTGAGTGTTGGGGGAACTGGCAGTAAACCCCACCTCAAGCCAGAGGAGATTATCGAAGCACAATGGTGTTTCGATACGTTCCTTCTGAGCTATGCTCACGCTGCTGCACGATTCCATCGAAAAGGCCTCTGCTTGTACAAACTTCGGCCGAAGATGCATTACACGCAGCATTTGGTGGATGAGCTGCCCTGCCACAAGCTCAACTTTTACCATGCTGCGAATTTTTTGGACGAGGATCATATGAAGTTCCTCAAGATTGTTTCGGCCGGCTGCCACGTGACTTCTCAGCCTCGCACCTGGGCAAGACGTTACCTGACGAAACAAGTGCTTCTCTGGCGACGCTTGCCCGGGGCGACGGCGAAGAAGAAGCGCCGCGTCGCCGAAAAAAAAGAGAGGACGCCGCAGGTCTCTTAAGGGTTTTAGGGTTTAGGGTTTCCAAAGTTGGGGCTTCAGGTTTGGGGGTTGAGGGTTTAGATTTCGGCTTAAGGAAGAACTTGCCACAATGCAACCAAACAACATTCCATAGTCCCGAAGCTTGCAAGTTTAGGTTCCAAGTTTGAAACCGCAAGGGCCAAGGCCTCCCCAAAAAAAGGGAGGATGCATTCACATATACACCCCTTAATACCGATATTCCCGAAACCTCTCTTGTTCCCAATCTAGTGCATGGCCTCGGGTGGAGTTGCTCCCCCTTGGCCATCGGGTGGAGGTGCTCCCCCTCGCAACATCCGCCTTGATCCTAAACCCTGGCCAAAGCTTGCACAAACTCCAAATCAAAAGCCTGCAAACAAAAACTGGGTTCCACGCCTGAACTGTTCAAACCCATAACAAAGAATCCTGCATAATGCTGTCAAAAGCACCGAAAGCCAAACCGTGTTTGCAGAGGCTGAAGCCCCGAAAGCCAAGCAGTGTTCGCAGAAGCTGAAGCCCCGAAAGCCAAGCAGTGTTTGCAGAAGCTGAAGCACCCAAAGCCAAGCTGTGTTTGCAGTCGCAGTGGCAGTTGTAGAATCTCGAGGAACGCTGGTTGTGCTTGGGACTGATTGCTTGAAGGCTTGCACCTGTTGGTCGGTTGTGTGCTTGGCTCTGAAGGCTTGCACCTGTTGGTCGGTTGTGTGCCTGGCTTGATGCATGTGTTGGATGGTGGTTGTGTGCCTGGCTTGATCCATGTGTTGGATGGTGGTTGTGTGCCTGGCTTGATGCATGTGCTGGAGTGTTGGTCGGTCGGTTGGTTGGTTGCGACTGATTGCTTGAAGTGCCGCCCACCGTGAGTTGTAATGGCTGTTGGCGCCTCGCCACGCCGTACGTGTACATGTTTGATTGTGACAGCTAGTCAACAAAGACTCCTGCATAATATGCTGTCAAGAGCACCAAAAGCCAAACCGTGTTTGCAGAAGCTGAAGCCCCGACAGCCCAAGCAGTGTTTGCAGAAGCTGAAACCCCGAAAGCCAAGCAGTGTTTGCAGAAGCTGAAGCACCGAAAGCCCAAGCAGTGTTTGCAGAAGCTGAAGCCCCGAAAGCCCAAGCAGTGTTTGCAGAAGCTGAAGCCCCGAAAGCCCAAGCAGTGTTTGCAGAAGCTGAAGCCCCGAAAGTCCAAGCAGTGTTTGCAGAAGCTGAAGCACCGAAAGCCCAAGCAGTGTTTGCAGAAGCTGTAGTAGTAGTAGTAGTAGTAGTAGTAGTAGTAGTAGTAGTAGTAGTAGTAGTAGTAGTAGTAGTAGTGTAGTAGTAGTAGTAGTAGTAGTAGTAGTAGTAGTAGTAGTAGTAGTAGTAGTAGTAGTAGTAGTAGTAGTAGTAGTAGTAGTAGTAGTAATAGGTAGGTAGGTAGGTAGGTAGGTAGGTAGGTAGGTAGGTAGGTAGGTAGGTAGGTAGGTAGGTAGGTAGGTAGGTAGGTAGTAGTAGTAGCAGTAGTAGTAGTAGTAGTAGCAGTAGTAGTAGTAGTAGTAGTAGTAGTAGTAGTAGTAGTAGGTGAAGGTTTGGCTGCTTTGCGCCACCCGTCCGGAGGCGAGAACGGCCGTTGGCACCTCGCCACGCCACAGAAATTCATTAACACCATGTTCGTACGGCCGTTGGCGCCTCGCCACGCCACAGAAATTCATTAACACCATGTTCGTACGGCCGTTGGCACCTCGCCACGCCACACAAATTCATTAACACCATGTTCGTACGGCCGTTGGCACCTTCACTAACCGCTGGGATCCCGAACCTTTGGATATATAACCGCTAGGATGTGAATTAACGCTGGGATTAACCGCTGGGACAATTAACCGCTGGGACTAACCGCTGGGACAATTAACTGCTGGGATTAACCGCTGGGACAATTAACCGCTGGAATTACCGCTGGGATTAACCGCTGGGACAATTAACCGCTGGGATAATCAAATAACCGCTGGGATGTTGAAATAACCGCTGGGATGTTGAATTAACCGCTGGGATATCAAATAACCGCTGGGATGTTCGATTAACCGCTGGGAGCCCGGGATGGCCTACATCGATTTGTGTTTAGGTCACGTCGGTTATTAACCGATGGGGGGCTGTCCAGGTAGTAATGAAGGAAGGCGACCTTGGAAGTAAGCGGCAGTTTGCACGTCACCGTGGTGGAAGCAAACCGCCGCCCATCCATTCTCGATGTCGGATGTGGACTTAGAGTCCCAACTCGGGATGTCCTTGTCGCCTGGCTTGTAGACGGTGGAGCCGAGCCGAAAGTAGGCGTCCGTGTAGATGACGCTGTAGTTCGGTCGTGTCGGAGTCCGTGG